TATATATATATATCTAAGCAAATGCAATTGGTCTTCCTTCACAAGTATCTCTCTCTCTCTCTCTCTCTCTCTCTCTCTCTCTCTCTCTCTCTCTTGGTTTTTTCAAGACATGGTTTCTCTGTAGCTTTGGAGCCTGTCCTGGAACTAGCTCTTATAGACCAGGCTGGCCTCGAACTCACAGAGATCTGCCTGCCTCTGCCTCCCGAGTGCTGGGATTAAAGGTTTGCGCCACACCGCCCAGCTGCTTCACAAATCTCTGGATCTTAAGTGTTAGTGGAGAAGAACTGCCACAGAGATCCACCAAACAATTTACAGCTAAGTTAAGGATCAATGAAAGAGGAATTTCTCCAGAGTTCCAAGTGAAGACACTGAAGAAGCTTTGGCATCTCTCTCCCTCTCTTTCCATGCTGTATGTGTCCCAGTGACCAGGCTTTTTCTCTGTTTCCTTCACTCCCAACTTCCAATTCGACACAATTCTTATTCTGCTACACCCCCCTGAGCCGTTATTTCCTCCGTCTACAGTGGGGTAGGGTTCTGTTAACTTTTATTACATAGGTGCATACCCAGCTCCTCCTCCAGTGAGATTTATCTGCTTCCTTCAGTGAAGATGTAGAGGAAGGAGGTGTGTAGCACCACAAGTTGGTGGCTTACCGGGAAAGATTCAGCATGTCTGACCTGGTGGCTGGATTCATGGTGTCTGGCTCACCTCCCTCCTTCCCTTCTCACATCAGAGGTGGGACTATAACTTGCAGCTGTCCTGATTTCCAGACTAATTAATTTTGTTTCCAGAGGGTAAGCTGTGTTTAGTCAGTTACCTAAGGAAAATCAGGCTTTGATACGTCAAGAGAAGGAGATCCAATAATGTGTGCAGTATTCATAAACAAGTACTTTTTTGTTTGTGTTGGTTGTGTATATACATGTTCATGTGCATGTGTGTAGGCCCATTCGTGTGTGTAGGCATACATCTATAGAGACCAGAGGTGGACATAGGTCTCTTCCTCAGTCATTCCCCACTTTGTTTTTTGGAACAGGGTCTCTTTCGGAACCGAAGCTTACAGATTTCGGTAGGCAGTCCAGGGAGCCCAGGGATCCTCCTGTCTGTCCTTTCCCTCCTTTGGTGCTCAGGTTCAGACGTATGTCATGGACACTGGAGACCCACACTCTGGTCCTCAGGCTAGCACGGCAAGCATGTTACCGACTGAGCCATCCCTCCAGTCTTAGCACGATTGCTTTAAAAGACATCTTGGTGGTTTTGTGGTAAGACTCAGTCTTAGAGCTGTAGGACTTGCCTGCTTTATCGCAGTGGTGAGGCATATAACAGGAACAGAAACGTTTTACACTACAGACTTGGCAAAACTGGTTAAAGGTATTTGCAGGGGCCTGATATCCTTGAACTTTAAATATTTCCAAGATAAAGCAGCTAGTGTTGTCCTGGTTTAGAAGAGAGAGCTTTCTCATGAAGGGTGGGCTAACAGTCTAGATTTGTGCCCGCTCTAAGTACCCGGTTCCACATGTGTTCCCTGGTAGCAGTCCATGCTGCAGGCTCATTTCTAGTCAAGGCTTCCAAGAAGTTTGACATCACTTAGGGACATTTGTTTGACATATTACCTTCTGAGGTTTATTTCTAGCTCTGATGAAATGATCTTACAAATTATTTCAATTTATGTAGTGGGGGCATGCTTATTCAGTACATGTGATTTCTAGGAACTGATTGGTTATTGCACATTTTTTTGAAAATTCGATTAACTCCAGAACAACAAAACAATGCAGTAAGGATAAACACATGAAAATTCAAACAGGACGGTTTCTGGCTAGACTTCCAGATATAGTTGACTGCATGCGAACAATTCCAAAGCTGTAAAAGTATGTGTTTAATTGAAATAATAGGTCAAATATTTTCTCTCCCTGTCCATTGCGAGGTCTCCCTTCCTCCCTGTCCTTGCATGACCATCATGTCTCTGTGGAAATAGTTTTTATGTAGTGTTTATTTACTTTCAAGTTGAAAATGTATTCTAATTGGCATTGATGACATTCTGCTCCATAATACTGGGGCCTTCCATGTTGCTCTAGCTGTATCTGCCCTGGCTAGCATAGTGTCAGGATTTATAACTCACCAATGCTTTCTCTGCCCTGGTCAGATGCCCTTAGCTTCCTCACCAGGGCTAATCTTTTCTGTCAAATCACTGTGAATTCACACCTTCCCATCCTCCAAGGGAAATCTTCATCTGAGACCACATGGTATGGAGAAGCAGAGTGTCCTTGCTTTCCTCTTTGTTCTGTAGGTGATCAGACGCCCCAGTAGACTAACTGCCAGGTGCCTGCAGCAGAAATAATCCGCGATGTATTTTTGCACAGATTTTCCCTCTTACGCTTTACTTTCTTGTCATGTATTCTTGTTGTGCAGAATCGCTTTTCTAAATAAGTTATAAACACACAAAGTCTGTTCCACAAAGACAAATGCTGAACTCTTCGGAGGCTCATCTCCTGTTGACATTTATTTGTTCCCTCACGTCATGGTTTGTGAGAAACGTTGGTCTATACTATTCAACAGGTAGACTTTCTCACTAAATTCCAAAAGCGAACATAATGATTTTATATATACTGCATATATTGAGTTAAACACTAGTGCTAGTTAAAATGATTTAAACTTCCTATTGCATTTTAAGTAAGGCTATGGCTCACATTATATTCTCATTGACTTAGACACATCCATCAGTTTCCATGTGCTGAGTTCATTCTAGGGTAACTGAAAGAAAGCTAATGTACAAATCCTGAGACAAATAATTGAAATTTGAAAACTCTCTATATATTTGACATAAGAAATAACTGTTAATTTGTTGTCTATAAGTAATTATCTTAGGTTTATATATTTTAAAGATTCATCATATCCTATACACTGATACAATAAAGAATGAAATAAATGATGTCATGAATTTACCTCAAAATGAAGAGGAAATAATTAGGCATATAAACTAGGATCTGGAATGTTTTAGTTTATAACTGGTAATATTAGATAATGATAATTATGAATTTATTGTTATATTTTCTCTAGTTTTGGATATTTTTAAAGTTTCCTGAATTAAAAATGATTTATCATGACAAGTAAATTTTTTCCAGTGTCCAGCAATGACAAGCTATGTGTATAAGAGATACATAGATGTACCACATTTTCTTTATCCATTCTTCAGTGGAAGGGCATCTAGGTTGTTTCCAGGTTCTGGTTATTACAAATAATGCTGCTATGAACATAGTTGGATAAATGTCCTTGTAGCATGATTGAGCATCCTTTGGATATATGTCCAAGAGAGGTATTGCTGGGTCCTGAGAAAGGTTGATTCCCAATCTTCTGACATATCGCCATACTGATTTCCAGAGTGGTTGTACAAGTTTGCATTCCCACAAACAATGGAGGAGTGTTCCCCTTATTCCACATCCTCCCTAGCACAATGGAGTACTACTCAGCACTAAAAAACAATGACATCTTGAACTTTTCATACAAATGGATAGAACTAGAAAAAACCCATCCTGAGTGAGGTAACTCACACCCAGAAAGATGAACATTACATACACTCACTCATAACTGGACATTAGCTCTAAAGCAAAGGAATAAGAGCTTATAGTCCATGACCCTAGAGAAACTAAGTAACAAGATGAACCCTAAGAGAAACATATATACTCACCTTTCCTTAAGTGGCTTATGAGCCTCTTTTCGTGCATGCTATGATGCTGACTGGCTAGACCTTATGCAGATATTGTACAGATAATCACAATTGCCACACATGTATGAGTACAATACTTCTATCATATCCCGAAAGAGACATTGTTTGTTCAGGCCGTCCCCAGTTTCTGACTCTTACACTCATTCCACTCTCTCCTCTAAGATGATCCCTGAGCAGTGTGTGTGTGTGTGTGTGTGTGTGTGTGTGTGTGTGTATGTGTGTGTGTGTGTCTGTGTTTGCATTTATGCACATGCACACACACACACACTCTAGGTGTTTCTTTTGTTGGCAGGTATTTATCTTTGGAGGTCTCTCTTAGAATAGTATGTATCAGTGATGGATGGTATCAGAGAGTGTTTTCCAGCTGCCTCTGACCCTAATGGATAAAGCGCTTGGGACTTCAATGAGTCCCAGGCTGAGAGTCATGATTACACTAGCTTTCTCTTATTGCAGAAATCATTCTTGGGCTGTGTTATGCATATTAAATCTGTTCAAAGCAGTTGGCTTCAGATAAAATAAATAATCCATGTCTTAAAAGCTCTAATTGAGAACATTGTGTCCTTACCTTGCTTTCTTTGGAACTACTCAAGATAATCAGTATTTTCTGTCTTAAGAACCTGTTGGAATGAAAATTTCCCAAGGGATTTAAAACGCAGCATTTAGTACACAGAATGCTTGGCATGTAGGCACACCCAACATGTGCTTATCAATATCATAAATGAATTAAAAATGCCCCAGGTACTTGTTTAATGAATTGTGGATCTCAAACCTTATATAACAGGAAGATTTTACAGCTTCACTTTGTTCCATTAATATTGATTTATAAACTAGTTGTATTCAAATCTGTTTCTCATATTCAACTCAGATTCTCATGCTTTGAGATGCACACTTTATGTAAACAAAGTGTCTCAGTAAATGTCTAGAGGTTTGAAATTGTGCCATTTGGAAGTCTAGCATTTCATACTGAGCTCAGGGACTTTGAAATGGACCTAAAAAAGTCATAGATTCAAATTTATATAGGATTTACTTCCAATGAACAAAAGAGAGATTCTTGGCTTTGTAGAGCAATAAAATAACTAATCTTGATGGAATGCTTCATT